TGAACTCAGCAGCTCTGGAGGAGCTCATGTTTGGAAACCTGCCTGTCTGCCCAGAGAAGCCAAACCTGAAGATCCTCAGTCTGAATCTCCCAGCTAGTTCTCAGGAGAGAACTAGAAGGACAACTCAAGGTCTGAATCTCGCTAGCCTGAAGCTAAGCTCTGCCGCTGCTGAACTCTCTGCTGGAACCACAGTCTCTGGACCCAACTGGTTCCCTCTCTCCACTGATCAGTCTGAACCTCATCAGGTACAAACCAGAATCAAAACGCTATCAAACCATCGCTGCTGCCTGGCTAACCAAACAATCCATCTCTGCAGATTTCTCAGTGAAACCAAATCCCGGACCAGTACCAGAACCAGTGCTTTGTTTACTCTGTTTGTGCCACTCTTTAATAAACTGTTAAACTTTTACCCTGCTTCGTGTGGTGTTCTGTAGTGATGGGTCGGGCAACACCGATGCGTCGGCGCATGTGTCGGTCTCATAGAGCGAAACCTGTGTCGACGTGTGTATCGCTACGGAAAAGTCACGTGACCGAAACAGTTCCTGTATCGGTCACGTGACCGATGTTTCGAACTGATTGACAAGCCTTTATAAGGAAGCGCATCTGCCAAAACAATCTTGCGTGTTTTGCGAATATAAAATTCATCAAAAATTATGGAGCTTCCTCAAGCAAAAAAGGTTTCTCCCGTGTGGGACCACTTTGATGTTATTTCGGAAAATAAGGTATTTGTTTTAATTTCCTTGTTTCATCCTGTTCCTCTCAGAGTTTCCACTTGATTTTCTGAGTAGAAATTCATTTCAAAGTGACCTTTAGTTTACTGTTCGTGTTATTTTCTACAGGTTAAATGTCGCAATTGCTCAACAGAGCTTACATATTTAAATAACAGCACCTCCTCAATGCTGAGGCATTAAAGGGCCAAGCATGAGAGTGAAATCCATGATACACCCATGATGAACTCAGGTATACAGGTATTTTACAACTTACTGACTTTGTTTTATTGATAATTCTGAATAATTTACACTTTCTCATTTTTAACCATCAAGCTTCCAGAAAGCAGATGCTTGATGAGGCTGTGCTTAATTTCATTGTAAAGGACTGCCAGCCCCTCGCTGTTGTGGAGAATGAAGGGTTCAGGGAGCTGGTTCAGCTCCTTGAGCCCTCATTTGTTTTGCCAACCAGAAAGGTTTGTGTGGAAATTATCTAAAGTGGTAGTTTATTCATCAAATTTATTTTAAATATATTGATTTTCTTCTGGTTTGACTTGGTGTGGTTTTCAGACCATCAAACAACTGTTGGCCAAAAAGTGCGAGGAGAAACGGGAACGGGTGAAAATGGAAGTACAGCAGGCTGCGGACAGAATGTGCCTCAATAGCTGGAAGCTCAAATGAGCCCCAGCCGGGAACATCTTCACAACAGCGGTCTGCCCCCACTTCAGGCATGATATTGAGCATCATTTCTTTGTTGTTTGTAAATCATGTACTAAAATACTTTTTTTTTTTTTTTTTTTTTTTTTTTTTAAGATGACCTTTGGGAACATTTTGATCTCGAAGTGGGGAGGCAGACCAAAAGTGCCACAGCTGATGCCATCCTTGAGGTGCATAGATACATGGCAGAGGGCAATATTGCGAGGTCCCAGGATCCTCTTGTATATTGGAAAAACTAAAGGACGGTTTATCCAAACCTCTTCCGCCTGGCCTTAAAATTTTTGTGCACTCCAGCTTCATCTGTGCCGTGTGAGCGGGTGTTTTCCACAGCTGGAGAACTAATATCAAAAAAGCGTAAAAGACTGGATTTCAAAACGTTGCAACAACTTATTTTTTTGAATAAAAAATTGTAAAAAAAAAAATACCAGTGAACAAGCATCTTCATTTACTACATGTTTACTTAGAGATTATTACATTATGATGCAGGTTCTCATTATTCATTGACTGTGTCTAAAATATCAAATCTGTTTTAATAATAATACAATGCATCATACAATGAATTGCATCATATTAGTGTATATAATAGGTCATCAAATCAGTGTCAGTTAACTCTGTCAACTAGGTTGCCTGTAGGGACTTTTAATGTCCAGCAGGTGTCAGTATTCAGTGACACAGTATCGACACAGTATCAATACAGTTTGGTAATGTGTCGAAACGTTTCATGACGCCTCATCAACCCATCACTAGTGTTCTGCATGTGGGTTTAATCACAGAGACCCATCATGACACAGCCATTGTGCCGTAAAGATAAATTAAGATCATATGGACACTATATAGACTACAGATTGACACTCTGGGTCTCTGAGCAAGACCCTTAACCCCACACTGCTCCCCGGACGCCGGGGAAGTGTTGCACTAACTTATATGTTATTTTTATCCAGGTGTTGTACGTTTTTAAGTCATTAGCTCTAATACTGTTATCCCCCGATACCCCTGATATTAGAACCAGTGCAGTTATCTGAAACACTGAAGTTTTACTGAAGAACTAAAACAAGTAAGTACTGTTTTATAACCCTGTGTTCAGTTTCTCACTGCTGGGGGGTTTTGTGTTTAATGCATCTCAAGGAAGTCGCATAAGCAAAAAACATTATCCTAGTTTTTGCTTCTGTCTCCTTGAACCTGTCGGCCTCAGCAGATGGCCGCTCACACTGAGCCTGGTTCTGCTGGAGGTTTCTTCCTGTTAAAAGGGAGTTTTTCCTCTCCACTGTCGCTGCCTACAAGCATGCTTAGTGTGAGGGATTGCATTTGAGTTAATGAGTCAATGCAATCAACTGGTTTTCCTTAGATAGAAAACTTTTAATCAATCTGACTGGATGATCTGGTGAACTGTAAAGTGCCTTGAGATGACATGCATTGTGAATTGGCGCTATAGAAATAAACTAAATTGAATTACGCCATTAAAAGGAAAGAAAAAAAAGGTCAGTTCAGGTGTAAAAAAAAGTGAATCAGGGCTCCAATACTGTTATCCCCCGATACCCCTGATATTAGAACCAGTTCAGTTATCTGAAACACTGAAGTTTGACTGAAGAACTAAAACTAGTACTGTTTTATAACCCTGTGTTCAGTTTCTCACTGCTGGGGGGTTTTGTGTTTAATGCATCTCAAGGAAGTCGCATAAACAAAAAACATTATCCTAGTTACTGAAAATGTATTTTGTTGTTTTTGTCATTGGGCTGTTGCAAATACATAAAAGCAGTCTTTAGACAAACATTTAATCAAATTCATAAAATGTTTACAGAAACCCCCACACTTAATAGCCGAGGTTACCTGTTGAACCTGACAAACCAGAGGCCGTCAATCTAAGGTGAAACCAAAAAAAGTGTGTTGCGTGAACAGAAATGTTTATAAGACCTTTTCTCATCATTAATGTTGAGAAAATTTCCATGTGCATTAGTATTTTTTTAAACTAAATAATTTTAAACTCTAAGTTTACTTTAAAATAAACTATTCTTACAATCAGCTTGAGATTTGTCCATGTGTGCTTCCCTGTGTAAAATATAGACGTTTGGTTTTATACAGCTGTACATATGACCTGTGTGGAATGATGAAACATCACCTCTACCTGCTGCAAAAACATTTATTGAGACCAAATAATAATGAAACTGAAAAGTCGTTGTGTTTTTTTATTATGGATCGTAAAAATGAAAACATTGTTTCAGACACAGCAGGAACAAAGATGCATTGAAGAATCTTTCAGCTGAGGCTCTTAGCTAAGCAACAATGAGTCCCAGAAATGTGGCCGAGCTTGTTGGTTTCTCACATTCAGAGAGCTTAGAGTTACCACTCTCTAACACACCCGGTTAGTTTTATTCACTTTAGATCTTAGTGCACTTTAAAAAAAATAAATATCTTATAAAAATTTAAAAAACATGAGCTATTGCATGTAAAAAAAGCTACAATTTTACATTGAAAAAAATAAAAGGAGAGATTCACATTTTGTTAATTATATTCAAAGTTAAAAGTTTACAGTGCAATAAATTAAATAAAGTTTAATGTGAAAGTTCATTTTATATTCAGGTATATTCACCGGGGGGGGGGGGGGGGGGGGGGGGGGGGGGGGGCTGAGCCATTCACCTTGACAAATGGCTATTTATTTAATTTATTCTTTGTTCGCTGTAAGAAAATGTTACGGAAGAGGATTAGGGCCACTGGAAAAAAAAAGTTAACTGATTTTTACATTTTATTTCAGTTTAACATGGGGAATTCTGACTTTAATCTCAGAATTCTGACTGAATTCTGACAATAAAAAAATAATCCCAGAATTCTGAATTTTTTCCCAGAATTCTGACTTTAATCCCAGAATTCTGAATTTTTTCTCAGAATTCTGACTTTAATCCCAGAATTCTGAATTTTTTCCCAGATTTCTGACTTTAATCCCAGAATTCTGACTTTAATCTCAGAATTCTGACTTTTTTTATTGTCAGAACTCAGTCAGAATTCTGAGATTAAAGTCAGAATTCTGAGAAAAAAGTCAGAATTCTGACTTTTTCCCCATACTATACTGAAATAAAATAAAAAAAAAATCAATTAACTTTTTTTTTCTCAGTGGCCCTAATCCTCTTCCGTAAAATGTGGCTAATTGATATCATATGTTATGTTTTATAATAATCCTTTGGGTACAACAACTATTGTAGGAATTAAACCAACATTTTCAGACAATATTACACCAGGTTCTAGGGTTTTTAACCACATAATTCTTGAAAATACTTAACTAAGATAAATAATAACTTGTTCAACATGGTTTAAATATTAAGATTTCCATTTATCCTTTATCTATTAGTGTAAAATATTATGCCTTTTCAAGAATTTCAAAAACAAAAGCTCCTGAAAATATGTAAATATGTTTAAAAAATGCATGAAATTTGTGTTGTTTTTTTTTACAAGAAAAAAAAGTCCAATTGTTTACTTTGAGTTTGGTTTCTAACTAAAGATAATACTGTATTTTGAATTATTTTGCTATTTTTCATTTAAACTTTTTAAATATTCAGTCCTTATTAGCCAACTTAAAGTAAAGAAATTATATGACACGTACATAAACTTTTAAATAAACAAACAGCTTGCTGTTGAGTAGGGAAATTTAAAGAATATTTAGATGAGGGTTCTTTCCTACTTAGCGAGCTCATACTTAGCAAAACAACAGTAGAATAAGCTTAGCAACACACTCAGTCTAAAAAGGAAAACAAAACTGTTTCTTTCCATTCTGTTCTTTCTATATTAGCTTGGAATTGCTTTCATTTTAGACATAATCAGTTATGGGTCATAATAGATGCCATTTTGAAGGTGGATTTTTTTCCACTTCAGTGGAAGTGACAGAGCTGCCTCCACTGTCTGTCAGCCAAGGCAGAGTTAAACAGGTTTGTTGATTGTTTGCTGTTTAAGTCCCCTGCCTCATCATTTGTTTAGCGTCTGCAGTGATTCATCAGCCATGAATGGTAACAAGACCTTACTTATCATTCTCGTCTAAAATTCATTTCCTGATTTTGCTCCAAGCGTTTCCTTATTTTGCTTCCAAACAGCAAAACTTTGGAGATACACAATGAATTACGAAATCGTTTTGAACGGGAAATGGTGGTGGGGGAGTTCTCACACCATTAGTGTCCTGGTGTTCACATATTTCCCCCTTTTGCCCCTGATGCTGGAGGCCTTTTTGCTGCTTTTCTTCACTGATCCTTTCTTTAGCCTCGTGCTGCTGCCTCCACTGTCTGACGACGTCTTTTCCTCTGGCTTATATAACTTATCATGCTCCAGGTTCTGCAGGTTCTGACTAGCCCAGTGTTCCTCATCAAGGGGCTCCTGGCTGCAGCAGAACCACTTGGTGTAGCTGTAGAAAAGTTCTGCCAAGCTGCAAAGTGCTGATAGGACCCCCACAGCAAAGTAGAAGAGGAGGAAGACTGTCTTCTCTGCAGGGCGGGAGGTGAAGCAGTCAACTGTGTAGGGGCAGGGAAACCGGCTACAGGGGAACTGTGCTTCCACCTTGAAGCCGTACTGCCACCACTGGCCCACCAAGAAGCCCACCTCAGCAGCGAGTCGAAAGACCACGTTTATGATGTACAGCCTCCTCAAGCGGCGCTCATCTATGATGTTCTGAATTTTGTTTTTTTTCGTCTTAGGGCGGGAGGTCCTTTTGTGACGATGATGAGTGGCATACATGAGGAAAACCATGGATGGCGTAGCAATCAGGACGATATGAAACACCCAGAATCTGTACTGGGAGATGGGGAAAGCCATATCATAACACACCTGCTTGCAGCCCGGCTGGAGAGTGTTGCAGGAAAACTCCTCTTGTTCATCTTCAAACATGTCGCTGGCAATAGTTCCCAGTATCACTATCCGAAACACTAGCATGAGGAAGAGCCAGAAACGTCCAAGCATTGGCGAGTGGGCCTGGAGAGTGTCTATCAGGCCACTGAGGAAACCCCATTCACCCATGGTTGCAGAGCTGCCAGGTGCCTCTTAGTAAAGAAAAGTGTTTCTGGTTTAACAAAAAACCTAATTGGATTAATATACTCTATGAGACTCAAAGCGAGACTGTGGTTCAAAGGTAACTTCAGGCATCATTGTGTCATCGTTAATTGACCTGAAACCAAAAACAAAACCATCAATTAGAAAACAGGAGATCCCACAGGGGTTAGGCACTAAAGCTAGCCTTTATTCAAATTTATGGTTTTAATTAGCTCTAAGGTGAAATAAATGTTTTACATTTGTTACAGAAATGCCAAAATCCCACAGCTATTTTGCTAAAAGATCATTTGTAACTAATTTAGCAGCCATAAGGACATTGATAAGTACTCACAGTTCCTGTTGATCTAAAAAAGCGACATATCCATGAAATTCTTCCTCAGATCTGAATATTTTTAGACAAGTGATGTACTTACAGTACTGCTTTACATCCAACTGTCTTGTTGTCAAAGGTGCAGTCAGCCTATAGTGATGGTATCTTATATAGTGCCGCCTACAAGTCAATGAATGAGAAAAACAGGTCCGTCCTGTTGATTTTTTTCCTCTACTTGTTTCAACATGACAGATTTCCTTCTAAAAGCCTGAAAACTTCCCGGAATGAACCCAAAGGCAAAGCAAGACAGAGCGAAACCCCTCGGTCTAGTCCTCTGCTGGTCTCTCCAAATGGTTTGAGCATGAGATCTGTCCTGATCCTTAATTGAGCGGGTGGTAACAGTTCGAAGGAAATTCCTTCTACGCCCTAATCTGCATCAAGAGTCCCAGTCAAGGGATGATGTTTACCCAAGAAAGGCAACTCTTGATGAGCGTTTCAAAGCGCTTCCTTAATGGCAGGAAGAGTTTGTTTCATGTTGAAGCACAAGTTTCCCTGATCACAAGGGGATAACAAGGCATAAAAATAATTATAGAAACAGCTGGCAATCAGAACCACGCTAATGAATAATGTAAGTTATATATTTCTGTAGTTTATATTTTTTGGTGTTGTGTTCAATGAAATTGAAATCAGGATGTTGAATATGAATTATTTCGAATAAACTGAATTGTAGCTCTCTTGAATCGTCCATTCATCCTGCTCTTAGCAGTAAAGATTATATGAGATTCTTTATAATTAAGAATGAATCTATTAAAAACTGGGTCACCGGCAGCCCTCTAAACATGATTGGTTTATGTCTTTTAAGGTGAAGCAGCATGGGAAGTAACAAAAGAATCTGAACCAGGTTTGGACTGTTTTCATTAAATTAATATGTCAAAGTGAGCAATGTATGTTAGATCCAGTTCCAACCGAAATATTTAAAGAAGAATTCCCTCAGATTTCCACTTCTATTTTTGGCCAGATGAAGTTAGTATGATGAGAAAAAGCAGAGGACATAAAGTTAGAGGTTGAACTAATAAATACTACAGGATGGGATAATAGAGATAGAGTTAAATAAAATAAAAAAAAAAAGGCCCCTATGTCCTCCAGCAGCCTAAGCCAATAGAAGCATAACTATAGAGATAGCTCAGGATAACCTGAGCCACTCTTAACTATAAGCGGGATGGAGCCAAATACAGGACCATTCTGGGGTTCAAAAAAGACCTGAGACTGAGATTCATTTTCCAACAAGACGATGATCCATAACAATCTACAAATAAACATATTCAGGCTTTACAGTGGCCAAGTCAAAGTCTAGACCTGAATCTAATCTAGAATCTGAAAACTGCTGTTCAAAAATGCTCTCCTTCCAACCTCAATGAACCTGAGCTGGTTTTGCAGGAAGAATAGGCAAATATTTCCCTCTCTTCATGAGCAAAACTGATAAAGAAGCCTGAAATGTGCCAAAACATTAAAAAGTTCAAGGGGGGTGAATACTTTCACAGGGCACTGTATTTAATGAAATTTTTTTGCCTGAGTAGGTATGAAAATATTTGGTGTAAATAACTATTTCCTCTCCGTCTGTCTCAGGTGCTCACATTACAAACTTGCACTGAACTGAACAGCAAGTCTGACCTGTTGCCACGTTTAATCAAGATGGAGGATTGCTGCAAAGTCCATGACGTGTCAATTTAGTACTAACTGGCATTTTAGCCCCAACTTACCTGCGTTATTTTATTTGAAAGCCATCTAATTGGATATAAATGTGCACCATTGGTTTAATGTGAATTTAATCATCCACACAGCAATTAGAGCCTTTAAGTGTCAGGAGTTGACATCTATTGTTTAAACTGTAAGCAAAAATCCGTTATAGTAATGAAACTTGATTTAGCAGAAAAATTAATCAGATTTGAATTAATGAGAACTAAAGATATGAATTCAAAATTTCTATTTATTCAAAAATATTTTTGAGGTTTTGAGGCTAGATTTGAAGTAGAGATCTATTCAGGAAACTGACTTCTTTTTGGACTTTTGTGCAGTTTAGTTAATCTGGACATTTTGTCACGTAAAATGTCCAACTCAAAATCTGTTTTTTTCCTTTACTGGATTGTGATCATTCTATTTAATAATAGTAATTGACTTTATTGATCTCACACTGGAGAAATGTAACTCTGCATTTAACCCATCCCCTTGGGGAGCGGTGGGCTGCCATCATGGAGTGCCTGAGGAGCGATCGGAGGTTAAGGGTCTTTGCAGAGTGGCAGTCTATTACTGGAGCTCGAACTCAGAACCTCAGAATTCAAAGCTCTATGCCCTAAGCACTAGGCCGCCACTTCCTGCACACTTTTTACCACAATTTTTTATTAGGTTAGAAAATACAGTCATAATTCCCAGTCTCTTTTCCATTCAAACGGGTTTCTATAATGCTTTCCTCATACAAGCCTGACTTTTGGGAACCAGATTAACGGAACAAAGGAAAACTGCTCATAGGAGTTGAACTCAGAAGAAACTTTATTTTTCAACACAACCACTGAAATATGTACAGGACAAAAACAACATACTAGAGCACACTGGTTCATAAACACACCAGAAGTTTTGATATAAAACGTGTTAAGGACAACTTTCAATAAGAGAACCTTTTAAAAGTTTAAAGTTATTTTTTTACATTTTAATCAAGCTTTGTGCAGAAGCAAATTCTGGTAATAAAAGCAAAGCTGTATTGAACGGGGAAAAATGCTGGTTTTCTAAAACTTCTGGATCTTTTTTACTACAAAATCCTAAACCCCGGTTTAAAAGTCTTCATCAGAGTCGGAGTCAAGGTTGTAGGTCACGGGTTTCCGAGCACGTGAGGGTTTATCCCGTGGTGCCACGGCAACGGTGGCTGCTTCCTCTTGGTCTGACAACTGGAAGCTATCATCTTCGATACACCTCTTGGTTTTCTACAAAATACATGTTTGGTTTGTGAATTTCAGCAAAAATAAAAAATAACGTTCAAAGTCAAAATCAAAGCCTGTGGGTAGAGAGTTTAGGACAGAGACCGACCTTTCCAGCACCGTATGATTTAGCCTTAAGCCGTGACATGAGGTCGTCTGAGCTGCTGTCCGACTCGTCGCTGAGCTCCTGTTTACGTTTTGAAACGGTGTTTTTTGCAGGAACGTTCCTCATCTCTTCTGAATCACTGGAGTCCAACTTGGGGACCTTTTTGGCCACGGGCTTGGATGAAGGTTTAGACTTGGAGAGAGCATCAAGGATTGAAGGCTGCCTCTCATCTGGAAAAAAGAAAAACACCAAGTAGAAACAGTTCATTAGAGGTTTAATAATTCAAAGCAATGATGAAGTCGCTTCAATAGGCCTATGGTAAATTATAGAACTGCATATTTTAGGTGCAGGGGGATAAAAGAAAAAGGTTGAACTGTAATGTTTATGTCAAAGCATTTTCTCTCCACTTTAAAATTAGTTTGGTTGTAAGTAAACACATTTATCACCCTAAGCCCAGAATTTATACACAGTTGTAAAATATTTTTCTTCATTTAGATTATTAATTTCAACATTGCACCTGGAGTTATGCTACATTTAGGTATGAAAATAATTTGAAACACCAAAAATAACAGTAAATTATAAATCGTATGTTGACTTTAATATTAACATCTTTTGTGCACACAAGAAATATGAATTATGTCCATCTTAGGGCCTCGAATTGACCAATTTCATTGAAAGTCGAGTTGCCACATTCCCAGCAGCTACAATAGAACCCATTGTTAAATTAGCATAATTGAAATCAAAGTGCAAATTTAGAAAAAGTGTTAAAATAACTTGGTTACATTTTCCTGTACGATTTTTTCAATGCACGCAGCTAAAGCTCAGTGTACAACGAAACCACAGGGTTTCACAGCAGACGGTATGTTCTTACACTGTGCGGCCCGACGCTCTGTTGCGATCTGCTTACACTGTACGTCTAAGAAAAAAAACACGTCGGACTCAGATCAGCAGTGAGATGGCGCTACTCGGACTCGTCTATCGGGAAGCCAAACCAGTAGATATATATGAAGCTCACTAGAGCGAAACGTGCTGCCTTGGCAATTTGTGCAATTTTGTGCTGAAAGCCCTAAAAAGAAAATGCGATGATGTATTTGGAAAAACACATGGCTGAGCAAACATGGCTACTATGGCTGTATGGTGTTAGCCCTGCTTAAAGCTGCTAACCCTTTTTGCAAATCACCATTTGAAATGTAGTTAAAACATCTATTGTTTTTTTACCTTTTTTAGTCACTCAACGTTTAATCTTCAGCTAAATATAAAAACAAAACCATCTAAGAGTTTTTATTTCTGCTTCAGAAATCAATATATTATGGTATAAAACTTATGATTTATTATTTATTCCTTTTTCCTAATATTAAATTCAATTAGGCCTATTCGGAATTAAATACATTTAAATAAACTTTTCTACAAAAACGTGGCTTTTATTGCATCGCAAAGCTAAAAGGCTTGAAAATAAAAGTCTGAAATAATTCTTTGTATTTTGGTTGTTCTTATAAATCACTTGTAAAAGGCACCATGAGCTGTTTTTGTGTTGTTGTTGCTGTATAACCAAACTGATTTAGATGATTTACTGAGTTTATCAGATAAATTCTTTGGGGTTAGAATGATATAAACCGTATATAAACTCTGAAATCTCTGATGTTTATTTAAATCTGAGAAAAAAAGCAAAGTTACTCTGAAATCTTTTTTTCTTTATAATGTTAAAATTTCCTTTAAAAAAGTGTTCTTTGTTTGCAACAATACTGATAACATTCCCTCCATAGGGTTTCATTAGCGATGGGATACCTGCTGCCTTCTTGTTGGCAGCGGCTGCTTTCTTGGCTGGAGCAGCTTTTTTGGGGGCCGCCGCTTTGGGTTTACTTTGAGCGGGACGCGCTGATGCAGGCGCCGGATCATCGGACGAAGCTGTAAAGAAAAAATATCATTAATATCAACATATTCTGTAAAAAAAGGAAGGAAAAATCTGGAAAATACTCACTAGATGACTTGGTTTCAGTTTTTTTAACTGTCGTTTTGCCCTTTAACACCTTCTTCCTAACGGGATAAGAAGATGAGTGGGAAAGCTCTTTTTCTTTCGTTAGTGGTTCTAACGGTTTCCTCATACATACGTGGGTTCTGGAGCTTTGGGAGGTGGGGGTGGTGAGTTGACATCGCTCTCTGAAGCAACACTCGGCTCTGGGGCAAA